AAAGATTTACAAATTCCCGTCCCTTTCCGAAAGATTTTTTTCTGACGCGCGAAGAATCTAAAAAACTGTCTTATTCTCATTTAATAATGAAATCGTGTTAAGCTAACATAATATTTGTAGTCAAACTAGAAATTGTGGGTATTAGATATACAAGTTAATGAAAAATTGTAGTTTCAATTTTCTACTATTGATTCAATTCATAGCGATAAGAGCTGCTAAACTGAACATACACATTTGTCCATTAAAGAATCTAATACATGTAACGTAATAAAAAAAGTTTGAAATCTCTAGCATGTTGAAATTTTAATTATATTAATTTTAATGATGATACATGTACTATTGTGTTATAATAACGATATAAAAGCTCATCAATTTTCTTTATTGTTTCGCTATGATATTAACGACTATTAAGTCATTCTTCTGTGCTTTTCCTTCCACAGCATCAAGATACACTAAATTTACATCCTGTGTAATATTAACTTTTTCTGCAGGACTAACTGTAACGTTCAACCCTTTAGGATAATGATACAAAGTCTGAGCTCGAATCACTGTCGGTGCTTTTATAGACGGATCTATCTGATAAAGCAGATAGAAATGACCATCAGTATCATTAAAGAAAAATTTTTGAGTTTTTCCGGCAACCGATTCTGGATATGTGCGCGAAAATAGGTTTGCCATTTCGGTACGTATTTCACCGGTGTCTTTGTTTACGAGACCTTCGTCGCTGATGCCCGGTCGAACGGAGAGACGTAGCGGACCGAAATCTTTATATTGCCAGCCAATCCAAGAGACAAGATGTTTATCAGCTTTCTGGATAAGGTCGAGGAGAGAAGCGATATTTTTTCCACTATTCCAGGTTGCATCAAATTCAGTAAGCTTGTAAAAACATACACAAAATTATTTGAGTCTTATAAATTGATGCCTAAAATATATAAACATTCATTTACCATCTGACCGCCACCAGTCCCATTGATGTTTTCCGCTATCTTTACAAACTGAACTTCAACACCTTTGAGTTGAGGAGGCTTATAATAATGAAAGCTTAATACGCTCCTATTTTTGTAGTTATCTCCACCGGGAACAGTAAGATCATTGGCACTATCCCAAGTTACACCTCCATAGAAAACGACAGATTTATCGTCTACTTTTCTTATAGCCGTATTTACTTTTTCAAGTAATCCTTGAATATTTTTGTTTTCGGCAACTAAAGGAAATGGGGAATAAATTAATTTTAAGTGTACTCTTAAAAGATACTTATATTTATTTAAAACTAACTTTTCGGATTAAAAAGTTTCGGATCTGCAAATACATTTCCCGCCCATGGTTCATTGATAATTTCATATCCAAGCACATTATCAACGTCTTTAAATTTTTGGGCAATGTAAGCCCATTGTGCAGAAAACGCATCTAAAAGACCATCCCGATTGTCGTAAAGGTTTTGCCAGGCAACCGAAACGGCATTACTCCCGTATAGAGGTGCCCAATTTAATGGACATTTATCTGGAACCGGATTTCCGTCTTTAAAAGGTATAGGTAAATTAATTGGAAGTGGAAATGGAAGCAAACCAGGCATAGATGCCCAATTTGGAAACTACAAAGATTAGAAAAATCCGTAAATATCATACATAAGAAATTGATTGTTATCTTAGAAATTTACCCCATCACCACAAAACTTTTGCGACATAATATCCTAATAAATAATCGTATAAGTCATAATATCCGATCAAAAAATAACGAGCATTAAAAAAAATTATTTGCCTGATGAGAATCCAACAACACATATATTCCATACTTTTTGCAATTATCTACGATACCACGAATTATATCCAAATATGTGTCATTGTATTTTCCTCGAATTGGCTCGACGCCTGCCCATAGTACGCCTAATCGGATTACATTCATATTAACTGATTGTAGTATCTAAAACATACCAATAGATTAATTTATTTACCTAAAAAAAATTGTATGATATGAATTTTAATATTAAAAAAGAATCGTAATTTACTTGTGCGTCTTTTTCAGAAAATGATGTAATTGCATTGAATTTATCGAATACAGGATAATATGGTGCTCCTTTATTGACCTAAATGCAATGACAGAGATCAATTTTAACGTTGACATTAAATCCTAAAGATAAAAATACTTTCAACTTACCACATTTAAACCGCGAAAGAATTTCTGCCTACCGAAATTATCCAAGATTTGATGTTCTTGGTCAACGCCAGCAATTCGCGATAAATCATTCGAATGTGCAGACTCGACGAATACATTATATCGCGACACATACAATATAAATATGACAAATGAAAATGCAAAAAAACCAGCAGAGAATTTTGATCTTTTATGTCTATGCATTATTTACAATTGAGGTTTGCAAGCTCCTTTTCACTGCTCTTTTATCATTGCAGCAGACCGGGGCTGCTAAATGAAATATGCATTTAAGGGGTTATTTCAGTACTCGTCAGAAGTTAACCTCCCCCCTTTATAGGCCATATCAGGAATTTAGATTGCAATATTTTGACGATCAAGTGATCTGATTCAAGCTAAAAATTCTATAAAAGGCGTAGACATGACCTATGGGTTACTTCTAACGAACGCTGTAAATGGGAATTATTTTCATCTTGTGAGATTTTCGGGGTGAATCAACATCTGAGTTCAATTGTACATGTGCAAGTGAACTGCCACTTTTGTTTGCAAAAAGCCAATAATTGAAGCCACAAATAAATTGATGGCTAAGCAAAGGATACAATTATTATTTGTATAATCTGCATTCAAATTTTAGAAAAGAAAACACAATAAAGACATAAGTGTCAATCGTTTTCGTGACCATTGTTGCCATCATCATCCGAGAAATTATTACTAGGCGGCAGCACTCTAGTGGTAGTTATTTTTCTTTTACTGTTAGCGTTAGATTCTATGAACAAGAACGTAATTATGACATTAGAACAATGACAAAAACGTGCACAAATAAACAATATAATTCGTAAATTGATTTACGACACACACCCTTTTTATCATCTTTTTTTGGTAATAATGATGAATGAATATTTGGTAAAACGCCTCCCTGAGCAATAGTCACATGACCCAACAACCTGTTCAATTCATCATCGTTACGAATAGCCAATTGCAAGTGACGAGGAACGATTCGTGATTTTCTGTTGTCGCGTGCTGCGTTCCCGGCCAATTCTAGTATCTCGGCTGCGAGATATTCAAGTACAGCGGCCAAATATACTGGTGCACCGCCGCCGATACGTTGTGCGTAGTTTCCTTTACGCATCAAGCGATGAATACGACCAACTGGAAATGAGAGCCCAGCCTTATTGATGTGGGGTGGCAGTAGTATATAATAAGAAAATAATCATTTTTATTAATAGAAAATTTAAAATATTTGATTTCGCTTTTAGTTAAATATTCAGAATCATACTTTCTTTGAACGCGATACAGGTGCGGCACGATCACCATCTTTGGGTAAATTCACAAACCCCTTTCCTTTTCCTTTGCCTTTGCCAAGTCCTTTGCCCGACATAATACAATAATATGTATAGCAAGTGATATTTAGTTTAGAGAATTCATTATATATAAAAAGGCAGAATAATTTAATATACGAAATTTAAGTATTGATGCATGATGAGAGTTTAATGTGCGTGTAACAAAGTTTTCTTTAAAGACCAGAACAATATTGATTGATATGTGATGATAAAATTCACGCTACTTGTACATGTACATGTATATTATCACCTAAGCCATGTGACCTTTCCGATTTCGAAATTGCGTAACGGTAATACAGGTTTCCTTAGTGATAGGAATTTATTATCCTCAATCAAAATCTCGAATACAACAAACAAACGAAGTAATTCGATCGAATCGTTATAATACGAACGCCGCTTTTCAATCAAATAGCAAAAGTTTGCTTTTACGATGATTGTTCAGAGAATCAATCTATAAACTAGCATTTTGTTTATGGTGGATTTTTGTAGTGGGTAGTGCAGTTATTGTTAATAATCTAATCATTTCCTTTTAGAAAATTAAAGTAATAAATTGGATGAAGCAGTGAAATCTCCACTTATGTTATTTAATTATGTTGTGTAGTTGAGGCTTATAACAATACCAATTTTCACACTTCTCATATAATACGAATGATAAATATCCATAAACAATTTTGTATTTTATTGGTGTATTGTGTAATTAAGAGGGATATATATATATTCTTCTTAATTACCAATAATAATACTAAGGATTTATCTCTTCTCTTTAATTGTCACACGCTTTAGCAATCTGTGGTTTGTCACTTCTTTATGAAAAGACGTTTTCGTGCTTGATATCGGATTTATTCCGTTTCCATGATAGATAAGGATAGGCGTCAGATTCAAAGAATCGATGTTTGGTTCCATTAGGAGAATTTTAAACTTATTAACATTTATTTCTAACATTTATATCCATACTCATATGATAGATTTATCTATGTTAAAAATATTATAAAGTAAATGAGATGACATATCTAGAACATAAAAAATTAGGAAGAACCTATTCCATAATGTGAATATAAATATCTAAATTTTTACAATATTACATTTGAAGCATTTTCAAAAAATCTGACACTGATTATTAAGAAAGAAATCATAGTCAAGTCACCTAGATCAACGTTAGCTTTTCCTAGGGATTTAAAAGTTTTTCTAATTCCAGATATAAAGGAAGCTTTGATACAACGATCCCATCAAAGAATAGCTGCGAGATTCTAGATCTTTTATTGGTTGTGTGGTTTCCATGGATAAAATTTGGATAGGAGAGGATGAAGGAGGAGATGATGATGGTAGAATAGCGGAAATTGTTAGAATTGCGGAAGAGACGCTATCACCACCACCGCTTTCCTCTGCCCAATCCCATGTTCTTGGAACAAAACCAACACCAACATTAGAATCACCAATTTTATTAAAAGCGCCCAAAGTTAAATCCAAATCTCCAAAACCACAATTAGGACAACTATCTTGAACTGTCACAGTGACCGATCCTAATGGTCCATGAACAATAATTTTTCTTCCCACAAAAGCGGGTTAGCATTTGGATTTGATGGATTACTCCATTATGGTTTATTTAACGCGCATATAAAATCTGAATCAGAATTTTCCATCCTAATGACGAATTATAGTAAGTTGCTTTTCCGCCGAATCCTCGTTTTTCAAATGTAGTACACTTACTAATAATATTGTTATTAAAAGTTGGATTATTGATTTTTTCTTTAATTAATCATTTTCTTGGTATGTACATGCACTGGGAAAAACAAAAGATTCAACCACGTCATTAAAACCAAATTTAATAATTTATACACATTTGTTAAAGAAAATGAAAATGCGCGTCACTAATGTTAAAACCTGTTGCCACTAAAATTAGTGAAGTCAAACTTTTCTGTGTAAGCATTTTTTTTGTTCTTCACATACGTACTTAGCGCATGGAATTCTAATTTATTTTATTCTGGTTTTCTTATATGACAAAATTCCATTCATCAAGTTATTTGTTGCATTCTGCAATTTTAGTTGAAAAAAATAAATGTCTACAGCACTTTACTAAAATGGATACGTTAAATGAATGAAACACAATAGAATCTGTTTTTTATGCATAAAAATATTTCATCGTGAATTTGTTATATATACTCTATTAACACGTTCCACAGTATGGGCTCAGGTAACACGTAAATTAAAACGTAATATAAAGCTTAAATTTATTGTAAACTAACAAGTCATCAATAACAGGAAATATCTTTTTCGGAATAAAATGATGAATGGTCCACGTCTATTAGTGAAAATTTGTCAAATATTTACTATTTACCATATCCAAAGAATTTTATTAAAAATCTGACGTCCAAAATCCCGATGTACCAAAATCCTGAACACCCAAAAACCCGAATGCCTAAAATCCCGAGATTCCAAACCTAAATACCTTAATTAATCAAATTTTCATATCACACAACTCGTAACTAAGCAAGCGCTACTTTATTACTAATTACATGTGTTATATGGCGCTCAAAGCTGTTAATGTTTTCAGTGGTATACTGTTACCTCGCCGACAAGTCAGATTCAGACACACAGCTTAACACGTTTTCACTAAAATTATAATATGTGGAAATAAAATAATGAGTTCGCCAACTGCAGATTAAGGGTATGAACAAAATTATTTGGAGTTCAAATTTCACTAATTAAAAATATTCATATAGATCACTTAATTTCTTTAGAATGGCAATATTAATATGGCATGTTTGTGATTGGAAATTATTTTACAAGGAAATTTTTTATCTTGAATTAAAAAATAAGTAAGTTCTATTTTAAGCAACCAAATATTTGAATTAGATAATTTTATTTTTGATCTTCCTCCTCTTCCTCTTCCTCTCCAGTAGTCTCTGCTAAAATTAAATGAGTATTAAACGAAGCAATAAGTAAATACAATTAACTTTGACGAAAACAAATAACTGAAAGTTGTGTGTTTTAACATTACCTGTTCCTATCCATTTTGGATCGGCTAAAAAATATGAAACATTTTTAATTGTTTAATTTTTTATTGCGAATATACAGTTAGACCTCTCTAAGTGCACCCTCCCTAAGAGCATGTACTATATAACTCCTCTCTAAATGCACATATATTCTAATTCCAGCTTATAAGAGCTTTATATATTTTGATCTCTATAAATGCACACCCTTTTTAAATACATACTTTTTATTTTTTTTACTATAGTTCCAAGAGGGGTGCACTTAGGGAGGTGTAACTGTATATATATAATCAAACTAAAAGAAAACAAATAAAGAAAAATCAACATACCTTCAGATATCATAGCATATTTCAATAATCTTCATGTGAATTCTCATCTAATGTGATGTTTAATATGTATAAGTATAAAGCACAAACATCTAATAACACCAAACACCATTTCAGAAAAAAAGAAAAACACCTCTTGTCATATCTCTTATCAAATCTTTCATAATATATTGCATTAAACTGCTACTGATTTTTCTCCTTTACCAGGTTTACTAGCAGGCAAATCTACCAAAAAAAGTTTCTATCATTATTACTTTAGAAAATCACATTTATAAAAGCAATAAACATACAAAAAAATTTACTAAGTCTCCTGAAAATAATCAGATCTTTATGAAGTTTCTCTTATTTTCTTTTTATTATTTTTGATCTATCATCTCAAATAGAGTTAACAAGTATAATATATTGATTAGTTAATTGATCTCAAATTTATTAATTACTTATTTCTTTAGCTCTTTGACAACACAGAGTTTTGCTTCTTGAATACTTATATTTAAATTATAAAATATGTAAGTAGTTCTATTAGTACTTCCTATTATAATTATTTTATTATGAGAAAGAATTAAGAATTATATAAGAAGAGAAAAATGAGTATTTAGTACAAATTCATATATGATTTATTCTAGAGTATTATAATACTCATATTATACTAGATTGTATTATATCTAAATATTTATATTAATAAAATTTTCTTAAAATACTTAAACAAAATTTTAATTTATTTCAAAATAATAAACTTATTATATTCAATCAGTTTTAAATAATGCTAATTATAAGTAATATTCCTAAATTTTATTTTTCTGATTATAAGTAATATCTTTTTATTTCTTTATTATATTTATATAATATTTTTTACTTATATATTATTATTATTATTTATTATCTCTTTATTATTATTTAAATTATTATTATAATAAATTATCTTATTATCCATTTATTTTATTTGAAATATCATATTTCAAAAATGATTTTTTATTATTTCTATTAAAATTTCTTCTCATACTTAAATAATTTATTTATATATAATTTTATAACTTTATATAAATACTCAAGAATTAAAAAAATTATTTAGATTTAAAAAATAAAGAAAGTTTTGATATTATTATTACTATTTCTTATAATTATTATCTAATTATTATATAAAAATATTATTAAGAATATTTTATAATGTAATAAATATATCTTTTTTATAATTTATTAAAGTATTTATTAATAAGATTAATAATAATAATAATAATAATAATATTATTATTATTATTATTATATGTAATTTTTCTAGTTACGTGATATAATATATTCAGATAATTCACAAAGAAGAATCAGATATAGTATTATATTAGAAAAATTCACATAGAAGATTCAAGATATAAGTGATATTATTTGAAATAGAATTCATACAGAAAACTAAATCAAAAGCA